CGGTGTGGTACACCACGACACCACAGGGTCGAACAATCACCAAAGAGTACTACAGGTATGTCTTCTGTCGCCTACGTGATGCTTTTTGGCGCAAGAGACCTCAGTTGTGGTCAACGGGCAATTGCCGCCTCGATCACAATGCTCCAACACATTCCTCGCACTTGATTCAGACTTTTTTTGGCGGAAAACGAGACTCCTGATATGGCTCTCTACAACTTCTGGCTGTACTCCAAGCTTAAGAAGTCATTGAAAGGAAAGAGATTTCAGACAAGAGAGGAGATTATGACTGTGACAACAGCTAAGCTAAACACCATTCCGAAAGAGGCTTTCTTGGAATTATTCCAACAATTACTCTGGGAGGAGTATGTGGAATCCCAAGGAGAGTCTACTTTAAGGATGATTATATTTCCAGTACTCAATGTATGCCTGTTTTTCTCCCTTCCAAGGCCAGGTACTCTATAATAGACCTCGTACATATATAAAAATTTATATTGGTGACTTCCATCGCAGGAAAAACTCCGCCACCGATGGAGTTCGAGATGGTTGTCTAGCCACATTTGTTGTCTTCATTGCCTCAGGATGGAGGCTGAACAGCTAAGCCTAGAGATCCAGAAGTATGTCCCAGAAGACAAACACCTCCTAAAGAGAGAGAGAGAGGTAATTTTATCGAAAAGAATTTGATTTAGAACTCGTGACTAAATTTTGTAATCAAGTTATATATATAAATGAACAAATAGTTTTTAAACTCGCTACAATATAGTGAATTTAGCAATGAAATTCATATCCATATAACTGAAATTGGTTCTTTAAAAATAACGAATTGTTCTCACCTTCTCAACAATGGAATTTAAGTCTATTCCTTGATTTTTTTCTCAAAATATTTTAAAATATATTCAAATGTATGAAAAAACAATAGAAAAAATAAAAGATAAGTGGGTCAGGTGTTGATATTAAAAATAAAGAAGGCATATCCTGACCACGAGCACATGTGCTTTTTAGATGGCAGAGCGCCATAAATTTTATTTCTAAATATATATAAAAGTAAAATATCGTTAAAATATTCAAGCTACACAAATATTGAAATATTTTAAAATATATTATTTATTATTATCGCCTGCTGTGTGTGAAGTTTGAAGTATTCTAAACTTCTCTATTTTCATTTTACTGTTTTTTCATTAGAAATTTTACTTTTTTTTAATTCTAAAATAAATTTAACGGCATTATAATTTTGAATATTAATTTATAAAAAGAAGATCTTTCAGATTATTTTCCTTTTTCTGATCCAAAAACACATTAGCACCGAATTAACACTATTATCCAATCTTTCAAAACGTTTATAGATATTGTGATATTTCCATAAGTTAGATGGATAATATATAATTTTTACATATTCGATTTTTAATAGAAGCATCGAAGGGTTGGTAAAACGGAAGCGATTGTAATAAAAGAAGACAAAACACAAGGTAATAAGACCAAATCCAAATGATTAAATAGTGTGTGACGTTTCGGTAACAGCGTTGTTACCATCTTCACTAGGATTTGGTCTTATTACCTTGTGTTTATAATCTATAATCCAAATTGTGCCTTATCATAAAAGAAGTCCCTTATCCTTTGAGACTTGTTGTTGATTCTGATATTCGATATCTCTTTATAAAATTTACATATAGGGTTATTATAAGTTTAGAGAATTGTGTAAAAGGAGATTATAGTTTTATGAGGTTTATATATAAATGGGAAGGTATCGTTCAAGCAAATCTGTATGTTTATTGATTGAATACGGATTTTGTGGTAGATTTCTTCTATTATTAGGTTTTATGTTTTTCTTGCTATGCTGGAATGCTGAATTATAGATAATTTTAAATATTGTTGATGTTTTGTATATTCTTGATGCTGGAATAGTTGGACACAGATGTGTGTTTTTAAAATATGATACACAATAGTTTTGATTTTCAATTCGGATTTCCAAGAATGTGGAAATATTCTGTATGTGTACATTATATATGTCTATACAGTCTATATGTATGTATGTAATACGGATTTTAGATTGGGATTTTTCATGGAGAATATTTATTTATTAAAAATAAGGCCACCTCTACCGTTAAAATAGACGCAAAAATTAGATGCCATCTATTGGACCGTCTACACCTACAAGCGGACTCAGGTCGGTGACAAATCCACAATACCAGCTTTGACAAACTTAGAAGCGCCTACCTGAAGACCGTAGTTTCAGGTTAATTATCCTCGTCAGTCTAGGGCGAACTTTATTCAATGAAATCCACAAAGGATCAAATGAAATCTTTACAATCTGCCATGTGGACGATTGTAGGCTATATCAATGGCTAAAATATAGATGAAAATTTTACCGGGAGGATAATGATCTATTAAATTAAGTTCACCTCTCCCGTCAAAATAGACATAAAACCATAAGCCATCTATAAGGAGGTTTCATTTGATCCTTTGTGGATTGTGGGCAGAGTGAGATCACTGAATAAGTAATTTTCTGTGGAAGAGGCGCTATCCAGAAATTTGTAAAGTGTAGAGGTTTATATTTGCAGATATTTGTCTTTTAGGTCATTTTGAATTGATTGTTCTGATGCTATCTTATAATTATGGTTAATCAAATATTTATATACAGTTAACCCTGTCTATAGCGCCCCCTCTAAATAGCGGTCGATTTTAAATAAGCAGTACGATGCGATTTACATTAAAAGTGACCTGTCTATAGCAGCCCCTCTCTATAACACCCTATTTTGGTGAGTTCCATGAGGGGGGCTATAGACAGGTTTAACTATATAATATTGGGAACACCGTGAAGGTTTGAACCGGGAGAATCCAAGGAAGCACAAAGTTCAAGCAGCATAACTCCTTGTTTTACTCTAAATGAATACGAACCGATTTCTCTTAAGAAATGCAACAAAAATAAATGCCTAATTGCCTTGTCTTTATTTTTTGTGAAAGAGCATTGGTCAATGCAAATATTCATATGTAATTCTAATATCCTAAAAGCTTTTGTTCGTACTTTAATAAACTACCATAACCAAGATTATATCCATCGCATATAAAGTAGAATCGTTCAATACAGTATTAGAGCTCTTAAAAGCGGTCAGGTAGATTAAATGGGCGACACCGCTGGGAGGGTTCACCACAGATGAGCCAAGTTATTCCACTATTATCATTACAGTAAAGACAGTAGGAATTCTATATACAGTTATCAATTCTTTTTCATCTCTGTCACCGTTTGCTTTTTTTTTTTTTTTTTTTGGAATGGCGCTCTCCTATTGGTTGGCTACGATCACGCCACCTTTGCCCCCCCCACTCGCTTTGTTGTTTTTGTAACTATTGTGTTGGAGCGGGTCGCTCCTTAAATAAATGCATATATTAGTTAATAACCAAATGGAATCCACTCTTTCTTTTACCCAGTACCAACAGTACATAGACAGATAAAGCACATAGGCTATAGTTATTAACTAATATATGCATTTATTTAAGGCGCCACTTTATAATTTAACAAGTAGTATTTGAATAAAAACATTCAATCGGGTAAAACACGGGCGTTGCCCGGGTCATTCGGCTAGTAGTTTTATATGTAAGAGAAACATTCGTGCTTGATCGTGTTATTTCTTAATATAAAAATCTACCAGAACTGTGGTTGTAAAGTTAAGAAGGAAACATCCTCCGAAACACGCAACTGAAGGCTGCTGGCAACCTACACCACTCTGACGAGAGCCAACAGCTCGAAACTTGTAGATGGTTGTTGGCTTTTTCTTGACTTATTAGGACAAGTTTTTCATCCGATATTCTGAAATAATAAAAAACTATGTTTTATTCAATTCGAAAGATGGTGGTAGCAATCATTAACGTTCAGTTTTATGATCATTATATTCCTTTCTCTTAAGGTAATATACTTTTGTATTTGGTTTAATAAAATAAGATTATACACTACACTCTTATTTATTTGTTTTTTTAACTTATCTCAATTCTAGATTGTATAGGCCATGATAATCATGCCAGATAGTTATAGACTGCCTTTTATACTGTAAATACGTCCCGCGCATATGTATTAAGCAGTTTAGCTTTTGCACTTATAAGTGCACTCGAGCCACTTTTGTTTATTTGAGCTCACTGATGGGGTTGGACTTTTGCAAGAATCGATAGCGATTCAAACAAATTTTTTTCTTAAGAAAAAAAAAAAGGTGCCTGATGAGGGATTTGATCCCGGGCCGTGTCTGTCAAGAATCGACAATTTCCACCACTCGGCCACCAACAAGCCCGGTGTATGTGTGGTTGATGTATATAAAGGCCGAGGGAGTTCTCCCAGCTCGCTCGATACACTGCCCGCTCCGATTGGCCACAGGTACCACGTGACGTCACCGATTTCAAGATTTCAATTGAAGCACTCGTCTGGCCGCATTTATTTTATTTCTGGCCAGTTTTTACACCCTCCTTACCCCCGGTAAACTTCTCCTCGTGGCGTAGACATTCTCTGTTGCTGCGGATGTTTTTTTTTTTAAATATCTCCTCTCTATTTATTTATTTTTACATTTCACATTTCTACACATCGTCTCAAGATAACCAAGGAGAAAATAAAACTAATAATTTAACCTAATTAAGATATAGAACTTTTTTTTTTGGTAATAAACGTTTAATTTATTATATATTCCTTAAATTTCGTAAATCTCTTTTTTACTATTTTGTTTGTGATTAGTGTAGTGTTTGTCTTTTTATTTTTCGTAAATGAACAAAATATATCGTATTTTAGCAAAGGATTTATCTCAAAAGTTTCTCAAGGCCATCGTTAAATATCGACATTTAAGTTCAAATGTCAGTTTACCATTCTCATATTATACAAATACTAGCCGAATGACCCGGGCAACGCCCGGGTTTTACCCGATTAAATGCTTTTATTCAAATACTATTCGTTACAATTATAAATTGTTCCGTGGATGTCATTCTTGTATAATATATAAATAAGTTTTAAAAATTGTAAAAAAAAACAAAAATGCTTCGGCTGGGAATCGAACCCGGTCCGCCCGCGTAGCAGGCCAGCATTCTACCACTGAACCACCGATGGTTATGAGAAATGGCCATATTTGGGTATTTATTCCATTCATAAAGCAAATGGTGACAGAATTGATTAAGAAAGAATTGATTATGACGCTGATAACTGTATATATATATAAATATTTTAAATAAAAGTTTGAATCATTCTGGAAAATAGGCTCTCAATTACATCAGTTAAATAAAGGTTTAGTTTATTTTTGTTCCACTAGATGGCGCCCTGCCATCTAGAAATGTTCATGTGAGCACGATCAGAATATGCCTTTTTAATTTTCAATATATATCTTTATATTCAATTTTCAAATTTACACCCAAACTAATTCAGGTTTTTAGACAATTTATAAACCACTAGCCTTCTGTCATTAAGATAGAATATGTCCTACTTATGATAAGTAGTCTTAATCGCAAATACGTTTTTGCACAATTTCAGGTTGATTAAAATAAGAAATTAATCAATACACAAACTGCATAGAGGTTTATAATTATGAATTACAGAATTGTATTGTGTAGGTTTGGACGTTGGTTGTTAGACAAACGTGAGTAGTTTAAGAAAATATGAAGCGCTGGGGACGTCAATCACATATTCAGATACTATACCTCAACAAGAATAGAAATTAAGAAAAAAGGGATCACCTGATCGTGCAAATAAAGGTTGCTGATGGCTTGCACCTTCTGTCGGAATATGAGAGTCAACAGCCCGAGATACATACGTGTTTAGCTTTTCTTGATTAATCAAAAGGGTATTCGGTCAATTTTGTAATAATTAAAAATCAACGATTAGTGGATATTTATTCCGACAGATGGCGTTAGCCATCAGAAACTTTCAGTTGCACGATCAAGAGATGCCATTTTTCTTAATTTATTCACTTAATCCAAGTACAATTTCACTTTGTGCTATTTTTCATATAAAATGTTTTTGCGGTTTAAACTGCTTTGCTCTTCATTGGAAAATGGGTGCCGTTACCATGTTAGTCACCTTGGAAACGTAACAGAATTTGGTCGAATATTCCAAGCTCCTCCTTTAATCAAGTAAATAAAAAAAATTGCGGCGTCTTATGATATTTTGTAGAAAGTCAAGTGTTCAAGAGCGCATCGATTGTAACGTAATAGTTTGTTAGAATTCGTCTGAGAGTGAGGTAGTCGCCGCACATTTATTTTATGCCACCATCAGTGAAGGTACCTCGTTACCTTTTATCGCCTCGACAGCGTTGTTCCGTAGGAGTAAACTTTAAATTCTCTTCATACTAACTGGTTAAGAATGTAAATGGATGTACGAAATTGAGGCAGCAAAATTTCCGATTAAGATTTCGAAAAAAATACTTTTCGTTTTTTTTTTTTTATATTACTAGACGAATGACCTGGCTTCATCAGGATTCTAACCAAGTGAATGTTTACCCAATCCATATTTTTTTAACAATATGTGTTTATTATTTTATTCATCAATAATATGCAAAAACGGCCTTCGAGGATAAATTTCTGGCTTTTTTAAAAATATATATTCTCTCACTTTACTGGAGGGCGTTTGTAGTAGTAGTGTCAGCGAGGCTGTGATGATTTTTAAACTTCATTGATAAAACTTATTATCGTTATTTTCCGATACAGGAATATACAAATTAACTCCTTTTTAAAGTTGATTAACCTATTCCCTGTGTGAGTGAACAAAATTAAATTTATTTTTCTTCCAGGCCTAACACTATATGAAATTTTGAAATCTTTTTGCTTTATCTTTTTTTTTTATGTAAAAATTCAACTTCCTATACTGCTCTTAATGAGATGGGGGGAAAATTATAGGAAGGCCTGGGTCATCAGTGATGAATTCTCCCAGCGGTTTCATCAGCTTATTTTTTCCCTATCCAGATTTTTTGTGTTTGTCCGTTAAGCTTGAAGAATTATCCTCGAATCAAAAAATGTTTCATTTCACACATATAAAAGTTTACACAAACAAACAGAGAACATGTTCTCATTAGTTAATATAAATCATTTCTTCAATTAAGAAGCAAAATGCAGACTATCTAAGCTAAACAGACTATTTAATAGTTATGGTCATTTAATAGATCAAATTTAGGAAACCTCTGTGAAGGTTTCCTACTGATAAGACAACTCTCCCAATACCTTTTCAGTTTTCGTTAAATACTAGTACAGTATAACCTCCCTTTAGCGGACTCCCTGCTAGCGGACACTTCTCTACAAAGGACAGTTTTCATCTGCAAAATTACCATTTTTACAATTTAGCAACTCTCCGGTAAGAGAACACCTCTCCCTAAAGGACACTTTGGCTCTGTAATTAGGTGTCCTTTACAGGGAGGTTCTACTGTAGTCTTCTTCTTCTTTCTTATCTCCACTCAATCACACTAAGGTATCAAGCTTGTAAAGCTTGAGAATTTTGATGGTGTCTGCCGGGGAAGAGTAGAGCTCATCAAAGGATGAGTCAATACAGTCAATAATATGTCTTGGGGTTGCAGGCTGAGAATTGCACTTAGTACAAAGTGAGAAAACCCTGCAACCATTCTGGAAAGTCATTGTCCGTAGATGACCGGACTTAAGTCTGGAAATCAAAGACTGTTGTTCTCTTGGGAGGACAGAACCGGTGCTTGTCCCTCCTGCTCTGTACCAGTCATGTGCAGTATCAGATTTCCATTCCTGCAGGCATTGGGTTTTGATGGTACGGAGGAGGTCTCTTTCGTCTAGTTGGGTGGTAGATTATCTTGCTTCAGGTAGGCCAAGAGCTCCAGCCTTTGCCAGAGAGTCTGCCAGCTCATTACCAGGAATTCCAACGTGAGCTGGAAGCCATTGCACTGTGACTGAGCTTTTGGCTGGTAGTCGGTTTACAGACTTAGCAATGCTCTTGAGGAGAGGTTCTTGACTGGAGAAGCAGCTTTGAAGGGTATAAATGGCTGCTCTTGAGTCGGAGTAGATTATTAATTTGCTTGGCGAGTTGATGTTGATGTCTTTTAGAGCCGTATCTATAGCAGAGAGTTCTGATTTATAAACTGAAAGATGTCTAGGGTGGGACAGGGAGATTTTTTCCAGGATCTTATTTTTGTAGATAGCAATTCCACTGCCAGACAGTCCAGTTTCAAGTTGGCTACCGTCAGTGTAAATTGTGATGTCGAAGAGGGAGCTACTGTACTAATAGAACTCTACTGTAGTAATAATTCGCACTAATCATGATGATGAATCGAACCATTTCACATTGGATTGAATATTTAAATTGTTATCTCTCTATATAAATTCAATTAAACATGGCTGCATACGTTTGTTTGTTTCATATAGACCCTGTCTTGGGATTTTTCCTTATCTCATGAGTCGATATTTAATATGGAAATTGTTTGTTACTTCTTCAATTTAACTTTCTTAGGTATCTGAGACCCTGTCTAACGCGTTACTTCTATTCCTTTAATTGCTAATGGCTAAATGTGTTTAATATCCTATAATAAAAACATCATCGAATTTGCAAAACAATGAATAGTTTTAGGTTTATTGTAACCAATTTTATATAACCTACCAAGGAGACAACTTATCTTACGAGTGCATATTTGCTTAGAATCAAATGGAAACTTTAAATACATGTTTCACTCTTAAGAAAAAGGCATCTCCTTATCGTGCATTTTCTTAATTTATGCACCTTATCTCAGTACAATATCACATTTGTACTATTTTTTAATGTTTCACTCTATTAATAATAATATTAAATCTGAGAGTAAAATTTGATTATGATTGATTTTAGTAAAGAGTAATAGATTGAAGAAATTGAGAAGAAAATTTATAAATTCCTAATTGTAATAATGTTACACTATGTATAATGCTGTAAAGAGGCAGGCTAAAAGATAAGTGGAACAAAGAATTTATAAATTCCTAATTGTAATAATGTTACACTATGTATAATGCTGTGAAGAAGCAGGCTTAGAGATAAGTGGAACAAAGAATTAAGAACATGCCATCTTCATTTGTTACGTTGATTTGAGAATTCATTTTGTTCCGTGACCATAAACATTGCAGGTGAGGGCAGGCAATGTTTTAAGCTGGGAGAGGAGTGGAAAGGCTCATTTGTTGTTGTCGGCCTATTTTCTTGGGAGAATAACGAGAAATAGGGTCAGCAAGATTGTTGATGGTAGCGGAATAAAAACTACAAACGTTCCACCGTCTATCTATTTAATTTATATGAAGGAGGAAAAATATTTTGAAGGTCATGTATCAGATATATGTTGAACCAGTTCAACTGATTGAAATCGCATCAGAAAATAAAATAAAAACATGTTTATAGAACTACATAACTACCATAAAGCGGTCTTGGGAAAAATAGCCTCACAAAATAAAAGTCAAAACATATATATATATAAAACAACTCTCTTCTCTTACCCTTATTATGTAAATATTTTGGATTCATTTTTCTTTTTTTCTCTTTTTGCACGGCGAATTATCACAAGGAGAAATGCCTTAATAAAGCTTTTAATGCTATTGTTGATTATTGATGGTACATATACGTCTTGTAGGTGGTTTGGATACTGGATAGAATTAATACAGGAATATTTGAAAGTTTCGAAATAAAAAATAATTGATAGTTTTCGACACTGTTTAATTGCTTTGAATCCAATATTCTTCAAAATTCAGAATCATATATCGATATAACTGCGTATACCTATATATAATATAATGTGAAAAAATGGGAAAAATAGGTTCAGCGAGAAAATGGGTTGGCCGAATATCATAGAACAAGCCTAAATCAACGTTTAGTTGATTTTTGTTTCACTAGATGGCGCTCTGCCATCTAAAATTCTCATATGAGCAGTCGGGATAGGCTTTTTTTTGTTTCTAATATTATATAATAAAAATCACATTCAGAAACTATACCAAATAAATCATCATATATGAGAGGTGGTCAGGTCAGGTGGACATACGTCGCATCGCTCCTCGAATTCGGTAAATATATAGCATCGTCTAACCACGTGTTCTGATGCAATATCGTGCCTTCTTGCACTAAGGTTGTTGAATTCTGGAAACTTGGAGACCACTA